CGCTCCAGGTACTGCTCATGACAGGCCCGTATGTGGATTCTATTAATAGCTCCGATTTAAGGAACTAAGGCTCAGAGGGGTTAGCCTCATGTCAAAGGTCACACAGCAGGGGATGCTGACCTCCACCTCTCTGCCCTCAGGGCCTGACCTCTTACCCAATGGGCCGCCTCCGTGAGAACAGTGACAGGGAGGCGCCCAGGTGGGGATGCTCTGACCCACCTGGGCTGGGGAGCAGGCAGCCTCCTGGAGCAGGTGATGCAGGTAAACCCGGAAGCCTCGGAAATGAGGAAGCAGAGGAAGGCGCGGAGGCGGAGGAGACAGGCAAGGAGGGGAAATGGCGGGAGGGCTGGGGGAGCCGGGCCGGCCTTTGTCTCTAACATCTGTTGCGTTTCTCCTGTTGCTGACTTGGATTTGCAAGAGTTATCATCTCGCTTTTCCTCACCTCAGGTCTAGGGCTGGAGAGGTGCGCCGGAGGGAGGGAGGCTGGGAGGGGGTCCCACACTCGCCTCTGTGGGTTTGGGGCCAGGGTGAGAGCGGGGAGGGGGCTGGTCACCTCGGAAACACGTTCGTTCTGAACGTGGAGGTCGGGCAGGAGGTGGGGCACCTGTGACCTTGATCCCATGTGGCGTTCAATGTCACGGTGGGGAGGGACTTAAGGCCTCCAAGACCCACCTGCCACCTGCATTAATCAGCTGAGCAGACCCCCTGGGGGAAGGATGAGGGGCCATTTGCTCTGCATCTGGGTAAACCGAGGCACAGAGAAGGTAAAGCAGGTGTTGAGGAAGGTGTGTGCTTAGAGATGTGCTTTCACGGCTTCCCCGTCTACCAAGACCAAGGCCCCTGTGTGCTAACGCCCCTGAAACGATGTTTAATGTCCGTCCACGTCACCATGGAAGAAGCAGGATTGTCAAGATAGGATAAATGAGCCCGGCCGGTGTTGCTCAGTGGTTGAGCATTGACCCAGGAACCAGGAGGTCACGGTTCGATTCCCGGTCAGGGCACAGGCCCGGGTTGCGGGCTTGAGGCAGCTGTAGGGCGTGCAGGAGGCAGCTGACCGATGTTTCTATCTCTCATCAATGTTTCTACCTCTCTATTCCTCTCCCTTCCTCTCTGAAATCAATAAAAACACTAGCCTGGATACATGGTAATAGGAAGCCTCACACTGGAATAGAGCGCATGCCCTTGACGCACAGGAGGTGTTCTGAGAGATGAAGCTGGTGGGGTAGGCGTGGCAGCCAGACTGTCCCTCATCACAGATGGGGAAACTGAGGCTCAGACAGTTTACAGACCTCCCCCCAGGTCACCACGCCCGAGGGGAGTGGCAAAGCCGGGATGCGGGCTCACGTCTTCAGATTCCAGGCCTGTGGCTCTTGCTGGGATATCAGGCCTTCCTCTCTCTGGAACCTTCTACCTGTCTCCAGCATTCAGGGATCTCGGCTCCCGGCTCCGTCCGCTCACTCCCGGGAACCCCGCCCTCGGTGTCTTTCTCCCTCAGCAGCGACTGCCCCCTTAACCCGAAAGGCCCCCTGGGAACGTCCGCCGTCGGTGACCCTGACCGGGGAGGGAAGCAGCATTCCCAGGCCACGCCCTGCCTGCATCCGTCCCCTGGTTAGCAGCTTCCGCTCGGCCCTGGGCGGACCGGCACTCTGCATGCCCAGCAAGGTGCGGCCAGGCTCCTGGGCCCAGGACCACACTTGGGTAGCAAGTGGGGAGCGGTGGGATCGCTGTGAACGTCACCTGCCTGGTCTGTGGCTGGTGCTATGCCCTCCCCTCTCCTCACCATCTCTCTCCTGAAGCTCAGGGTTAGCGCTCGTCTCAAAGGCACAAGGGAAGGGTATCCTCCTTCCTTTCACGGCAGCTGCCACCTCTTTGGGAGCAAGCTCCTCGTGCCCACTGGCACCCCCCACCCATCGGGGTCCGGAGTGGCAGCCGCCCTCCAGGATTGAGAGGCCTCTCTGGGCACCGCCTCCCCCGCCTCTCCTGGGCCCCACAGCCTCGCAGGCGGCCCTCCCAGGCCGGCGGGAATGAGGGCTGGGGCGTCTCCTCTTGTTGAAACCTTGCCCTTGCCCGAGAACCCTCGCTGACAGCTCATCCCTATTAATTCTCATTGTGCATTTCGAGCCAATAGGCTTCTATTTATTCATTTATCTTGGTCTTCCTTCTCCCTGCCCTTCCTCACCGGCTGGAATTTACAATTCAGTTCTCAGGTGGCTCTGCTGAAGGACAAAGCCTGGGGCGGAGAGGGTCTGCACCCCAACCCTGAAAAGGGCAGCCGCCCCTGGGCCCCCCTTCACCCTCAGGGTGCTCTGGGCCTCAGGCTCCAGGTGGTTGGATGTTGGGACAGCCCAGCTCCCGCTGCAGGAGGGTTGCCTGGGAATAGGGACCCACTGGGCCATGGCTAGGTTAAGGGATCATTGGGGCGCCCCCTGGTGGCCGGTTAACAACACCTGCTGGGCTGGACGAGTTGAAGCTGCCTAGCATCCAAGGCCGGCCTGCACCCTGACACTGGAACTCCTCAGGCAGAAGTGAGGCAGAGAAGAAAAGGCAGGGATGGACGCCGCCAAGGGCACAACGACAACAACAGGAAGCAAATAACAGCACCGCACACTGAGCAGCTACTATGTGCCAGCACTGAACCAGGACACACGGGGCGGCTGCGTCCTGGCCCGGCACCATGGCAGAGCAGGGACCCTAAGCGGGGAGAGGGGAGACCCAGCCACCTGGTGGGTGAGTTCCCAGCCGCCTTCTAGACTGAGTGACCTTGGCAGGATTTAGGCAACACCTAATCCCTGAGCTGGGATTAGGACAGCATCCTAGAGACAACAGGCCCTGCTGGGAGGAGCTGCAATCAACGAGGGTGTGGGGGGGTTGAATCCATCTGGGTGGGACCCTCCTCCCTGCGGAAACCAGGCCCCCGCCCAAGGCAGCCTGCCCTCCACCCAACCAGGCAGCGTCCCCACCCTCCTGGGCTGCACGTCTGCCACCAAAGACAGAGCCGCTGGCCGCCTGGAATGAAGTAGCTGCGTCCATCAGACCCTGAGGACCCACGATGAGGGGATGCTGAGAGCTCTGCTCCCCTGCCTCCTCCCGTCACCCCAGGAGGAAAGCGGGGGTCAGAAGCCTCTTCCCAAGCCCAGGGCTCGCGGGCACTGCCTGGGCTCGGGCTGCTCGGCATCAGGACTCTGCGGGTGACCAGCCACCCTGGCAGCTGCGCTGGGCTCTCTGTGGAGGGCGGAGGTCCAGGGCCAAGGGCATCCCAGCAGCCTTGGCCGGGAGAGGCCTCGGACTTGCCTGTGATGGTCATCTCCTCCCCTCCGGTCCTTGACCAGAAGCTGGCCCAGTGAGTGACGATTTAGCTGCCTGCCCCTCCCCCCACCAGCACATTCAGGAAATGATTAATATTTAAGAGAAGAAATACGGTTAAGGCTAATCCGAGAGAGAAGCAGAGGTTGACGCTGCCCAGGGAGTGTGCACAGAAGTCCTCACCTGAGCTGGGTGGGCAGCCAGCCTGGGGTGCGGACAGAGCTGGGCTCCCCCCGGCCTTGCCCCTGACCTTCAGGGGCCAGCTTCCTTGCCCGTCCCTGAGCCAGTGCCGCTCTGGGGTCCCCAGGGCCCTCATCCCCACAGACTCTCCGGCCCCAGCTCCCAGCCTTTCCGTCGTCCCTCTCTCCCCAGCCCAGCCACTGCCCACAGTGACAGCTCAGGACTTCACCACCGAGCAAGGACCTGCCTGCCTGGGCTGACTGCCCTGGGAGAGGACTGAAGCGTCCCCTGGGGCTGAGGCCTCCTCAGGAGCCTGGCAGGGACGCCAGCTCAGCCCAGCCATAAACCCAGAGACCGGGAGGCCCTGCCCGCAAGGACACAGAGGCAGCAGACAGCCTGAGGTTAATGCTGAGCCCCTCCCGTGAGCTCCCGCAGCCTGGCTGCCCTGCCCGGCCTCCTGCCAGGCCCTGAGCCTCCAGAACAAGCCCAGTGGGGAAGGCACTTCTCAGAAGGTGGTTTAGCTCAGTGACTTGGGGACCAGAATACTTCCTGGTGTGTGTGGGCCTCAGTTTCTCCATCTGTATGATGGGAATGGCAACAGCTAACATCTAAGGGGGCGCGTGCTCTGTGCCAGACACTAGCCTGAGCATGTTACACATACAAATTAGCTCACGTATTCCTTACAATGACCGGAGTGTGCTATTAGCGTGCCCATTTCACAGATGGTGGAATAGAGGCCCAGAGATGCCACTGGTCCAGAGCCATCCACCACAACTCCTACTTTGGGAGCACAGAGACAACCTGGCTGCGCTGAAGGGAGGACTCCATGGAATGACGCATGTCTAGCTCCAAGCCCATGCACTCAGGGAGCTTGCATGCATGACCCCTGCTATTATTACTGTTGTTGTTGTTAACATTACCTGAGCACTGACATACCCTGTGGCACGTGGGGATGGAATTGGAAAGGGCACCAGCCACACTGCCATCCTGGTCTAACCCCTCCTGCCTCCCTCTGCCCTTCCATCACCCACCAGCTACAAAGGGCCAGCTGCGAGCTGGGCATACCCTGGCCTGGCAACACTGTTTGCTGGATTGGATCAGGTGGGATAGGGAGGCAGAAGGGACGAGCAGAGGGAGGTCAGCAGGTAGCCTTGCTCACTCGCCCAGAATGCAGACTTCCTACCAGGGAGGCGGGGCTTGTCTGGTGGGCGGGGCTTCTCTGGTGGGCGGGGCATATCTGGGAGGCTGGGACTGTGACAACTATGGTTTTCCCAAGAGAAAAGGATCCAGCGGTCCACTGGGCAGGAACTTCCCCACCCCAGAGAATAATGTCACATGACCCCAGGGTCCTCAGGGCGGCCTTCGCTTTGGCATGTTTCCAAGGTGGGACAGACTCCAAACTGCATTCAAGTCAACCTTTTGCCTCGGCCCCCCCACTCTGCTCACCCATCCCCAGGGTCCATCCCAGACGCCCTCCCATTGGCCCGAACAGACAGAGCCCCAGTGGGCTGACTCACGTGGGAGCAGAATCTCTCAGGGGGGTCTCCGCATGTGATGCCCTTGGGCTCCACCTTCACCTTGACATAGTCCTTCAGGCGCATCACCTTGGGCTGGCAGGCGTAGAACTCCCAGGTGGGGCCCTCATCCGAGGTCACCCAGGATTTGCAGATGTCATAGTCCCCGGCGGCCAGCGGGAGGCAGTGCAGGAGGAGAGCCAGCAGGCCCAGCATGGCTGTGCAGTCCGTGGGGTGCGGCCCAGAGGAGCCCTGGAGAGGCGGCGGCTGGGTCAGGCGGGGCTCGAGGCCTCAGCATGGACAGGCCGCATCTGCCAGGCGGTGGAGGCGGAGGTCCCAGGGAACGGCGCTGCCGGGGAGCAGCGAGGAACTTGCTTTTCCCCAAAGGCCGGGAGGAAACCTCGGAGCCAGCGTTTCTCAGACTGCTGATGGGCAGATCAAACAGTGGCCCATCACTCGGAGTCCTCCTGACCTTGGCATTCCCCCTCTCCCGCAGGGGAACCTGATCAACTCAGGCAGACTCTCCGGTTGTGACAGTGGATGGAAATGGGATCGGGAGGCAATCCGCGGGGAGCTGGCATGGGGCCGGATCAGAGTGCCTTTAATTTCTGTCCTTCCAGCCAGTCCTGGTCTTTAAAGGGCCCTTCATGTGTGATGGGCTCACCACTCCCGCAAAACAACCCTCCGGCCTGTGTTGTAAAGATGAAATGAAATCAGGAGGTGGACGGGTGAGCTGGAAACCTGGTCCCTCTACGGGACTGGACTTGGCATCTCAGACCCATAAAAGAGATTTCTTTTCATGTGAGTTGAAAGTGACAATGATTGTGTGGCTGGACTGGAACATAAAAAAGCGACGGAGGTGTTAACTGGGGAGCAGCTTATTGGGCTCTGCCGTGGTGGGGACCGGCACGAGTGGGGGCCGGCTGACCTTGGCTGGTAGCCATTGGCAACTTATTATGAAGTTTCTGGGACTTCAGCTCCATCCATGCGGGTACTCGGGGTCTGGCTTGTCTTTCATGGGAAGAGGGAAGGAGAGCTCATTAGCAACAACACCTGCAACAAATTAAAAAGAGAAGAAGGGGGGACAGAGATGCATAAGAACAAAAGCTCTCTGGCAAAATGTGCAAAAAATGAGGCTGCATTAGCGAGGTCTCTGAGGAAGCTGGGTTATTTTTATTAATATTGGAGTTGCACATTTGGAGGCCGGGCACATTATTAAAAAGGTGGTGCGTTTTCTCCTCGCTTAATGGGGGCGATAGGCCAGCAGAAGTGCCCTTGCTTGGGGCCGGCGACTCCCTAAAACGTCCCCAGCAGCCAAGAATGAATGGTGGCTTTAAAACACCCTGACCGACCAGTCAAAACGTCAAAGGGGAGCTGCGATTGTACCCCTGGCGCCGATGGGCTGTGCGTACAGGTAGACAGCGGGCCAGGAGCGGGCCAACGGTCGGTCGGTCGGATAAACACCTCTCCAAACTCGGAGCTGGCGAGTTTCATTTTCAACCCTAAGAAACGAGGGACGCTGAAGCCTTCAACAGAAGTGACAACACTCTGTCATTTGGGTTTTCTGATCGAGGCCAACATTTTGCAACCATCCGCAGAGGGGCTGTTTATAAACGGATCACTATTATGATTATGGCTTTCCTATTTTAAGCTACTGGCAATTATCTTAAAAAGCCCAAATAGATGTGACTAATACGGATGTCCTCTTGCGAAAAACACGAGCCCGGTAATGCGCTGTGCTCCCCGGCAGGGGATAGATATACATCACCAGGAGGAGTCCAGCCAGCGTGGGAGCCCGACCAGAAACAGGAGCCAACAGGGCAAAGGTCACCGCCGTGAGTCACAGCAGAAGCCCTGCCTTACTGAGTATGCCGGTTCTCATGTCGGCAATCATTGCATCTAAGTCCCCCAAGGGCTGCAGCTTGGTGCAACCAGCCAGACTCCCCCGACACCCCCTCCAGCCAGTGCACGAAACCCCATTCTCCACCCAGACACAGACGCATTCCTGCCCGCAGGACAAACTGGGAGGGCGGGCATGGTTCCCAGGGGGCTTGGCGACTCAGCACCTTCCCCTCAGCACCTTCCCGGGAGAAGCCAGCGCCCTGAGCTCCAGGCCCAGGTCGTAAATCTGAATTAAGGAGGCGGCCCCTGCCCCCCTGGCCGGCTGAAGAGCTCTAGATGGAGATGGATGAGGGGGAGGGGACCACATTTTCCCGGCTCACCTCTGGCTGTAATGTAAAAGAAACCTGTTATAGAGGCTGCCCGGCCTTGAATTCGCTCCTGGCTAGAAAACTCTCAGAAAGAACCCGCCTGGCGACTATTTTTACAACCCGAGAAATTGTAGTAAAAATAAAATAGCGCGGCCTGCAAAGGTTTGGATGCTTCTACCCGAGTGAGCTTTGTGCCGCCCAGAAAACAGCAGGTCCCTAATGAATCCTTCCAGCCTCGAGTCCCAACTGTTCCCCAACAGGTAGGGGCTCCCGGATGCAGCGGGGGCTCCGGGACTCCAGGCTCCTTCACCTGCGGGACCAGCTGGGCTGCTCCCGAGCTGGGCGGGCCCTGGCTGGGCACTGGGCCGGGG